AATGCTTCAGTAACTTGTGTTTGTTTTCCTCATGCCTCTGTACTTGGCTTCTGGCAAGGACTGAAAGCAGCACTGAGTCACTCAGTAAAGAAGTCTGTTTTGACAGCATCCTCTTGGCCTAAGCAGGAAGTTCTTGAAGTCTGAAGGCATTCAGAGTTCTGGACCTTGCATGGTTAAAGCCCAGATGCACAAACCCTAAGGACATCATCAGGAGGTATTCCAGCTTCTGGAGCTGCTTAGACCATGCAAAGCTGGCAGCCTGGAGAGACTGTCACTGGAGTTAGCAGAAAAGGTGGTTCCACCAGAAATCCTTAATCGTGCAGTAATTTTGAGAAAGAGTCAAATTCTTTGAAGTCTTTCTATTTTTCTAATAAGATTACTAAAAAAAAAAAGTGTGGGGTGTGGGGAGAAAAAGCTCCATCTTACCAGATCTGCAGGCTCTGTTTTCTGAGTCATAGCTTCTGGCTGCACTGACAATGGCAGGGTTTTTTAATTTGCTTTCCAACCTCATTAATGCAATAAGAAGGGGCAGAGAAAACACTAGGACAGAGATAGGATTGTGTAAACATCAAGAAGACAATAAATTGGACAACTGGTTTTCCTTTTTGGGATTAGTACTCAGCAAGGAAGAGCTCAGCTTTAGTCTAGCTCCAGTAGGAGTTTTGAAAGGGTGAAATTAGGAATGGGAAATAAGAAGGTGAGAAGGGAGAGGAGCACAGTAGTTCCTCAGTAACATAGATACCCATTTATGAACAGCTGATGTGCAGACTAAAAGACAGCTGTGTTCCTCTGTACAACATCCTGTTAGCATTATTTATATAAAAGAGCAGTGAAATGGATTTCTTCTAACACCAAACTTCCGATTTGGCAAATGGGTGTTTCCCACTGGTGCTGGTGTTTGTGACGTTGTGAGGCAAGTCACAGAGGAGACCACCCTGTGTGAATCCAGACACCTTCTTTTATCTTCCAAGATGATGAATAAGGAAAAAAAAATATGCAATATATGTGAAAGGGGAAGAGTTGGGTCTCTTTTCATATTTGCTACCAGACGCCTGCCATGAAAAAGCAAGTGCTTGTTAACACTTCCTACATGGTGGGATGTGGCACACCACACTCCTCACCCTGCACAGAGGAGGAAATCACTGATAACTGGTAGTTTGCTGTTGGGGCTACCTCCTTCTAGTTATCTAAACTGTTATAAAATCTATGAAGGTGAAGACAGGCAGCCCCCTTTCATTTCAGTGGCATGTTAAACACTGCTTGTCTCTACTGAGCTGCCTCCACATTCTCACCCTGGAGCAGTTGTATTTAGTACCCAGCACTTGGCAACATGTGAATGGCCACTTGCCCTGTTCGCCCATAGCCAGAATCCTCCAGTGGAGTTTATTTTAAAGCAGTTCCTATTGTGTTCATAGATGATTTTGGGTACCATCTGGGAAAAATTAATCTTTTTAAATTCATCTTTATTACCCTTGGGATATGTATTTAAGGCATGAGATGCTGAAAGATGTACTGAGGAATGTAAAAGCAGCTTGAAGTAAAGATGTAGGAGGAAAAGTACTCAAGCTGTTTTTCTGCTTTTGCAATTGAAAGGAAACTCATGATATAGCAAATTTTAAATGGCACAAGAAATTCTGCTGTCTCCTTCAACATGGCACTATTAGGCCAGCAACAGGGGGAGCAGCTGCTCAGCCATTGCATAATTGACATCACTGACAATGACCTTGGATTCATAATTAGGATTCATAACAAGCACCAGGACCAAAAATAAAATAAAATAAAATCAAATCACGACCCTTAAAAAAGTCACAAACCTGTGTGAGTGAGCACATTGGAATGCAATGAAGGCTGAAGAAATTCTGGCTGTCCCAGGGCCTTGTGGGGGATGAGATGTGGGCTCTTGAGCAGGGAGAGGTTCCAACTTTCTCTCAATGATATCAAGCAGTTGACCAGAAGTGCTGACATTTTAGAGGAAGATGAAAGAAATTTATATTAGAACACACTATTCTAAAAGAACGTATTTTTTTCCTGGGAATGAATAAGCAGACTCATGCCAGCAACACCAATCTATAACAAGGCACAGAGGGACAATATACTGCCTCCAGGTATAATCAGTTTTTGCAAATCCCATGCTGGCACATGTTGCTTATCGATACCTCCTTTATCATATGTATTTGAGAGCTCAGACTTTGATTGCCACCTGGAACTGGATACTGTGGTTTTCTTTCCCCACTCAGTGGGTCATTTGGTTAAAATCCTGTATCCTTTCATGAGGCTCTTCAGAATCCCATGTAACCTTTATCCACTTCTCTTTCTAGCAAAAATGTATTTCAGGAAATTCCATAATTGCACATCTCTATATGGTGAGGTCTGGCACAAACAACCTGATGTGAGGCTGACTTCTTTTTCTTCCCTTTAACTTACAGTGTTTAAGTTGGGTTCCCTCACATTCAGCAAAAACATTCACTGTGTCATGATGGTCAAAAAGGGGAAAAAATCACACTAAGCTTTCTGCAGCAAGCTGCCTTTACAGAAAATGCCATGGTATTCCTGTGCATAGAGGCTTCAGTTTCCATTGAACTCGTCTTGAGCTGCTAGGAGCCACTGATCCATGGATGGATGAGATAGTGCTGGGAGTCTGCAGTGCCTCCATGCTCTGGATTTCTCTGGAGTTGTGCCCTACACTGAGGACCCTCTGGATGTTCAGGGAGGGGCCTTCAATTTCCTTTAATAAATAATGTTTGCCTATATTTGGGAAATGCCAGTCATTCTGGCAGCTACTGAAAACTAAAGCATAAGGAAAGTAAAGATGCATTAACACAATCTTATAGAAGAAGATTTGTATTGCAAATCAGTTTGTGTTGCATTCCCAGAGGGGGTTATGCACCTTTTTTACTGTGCGGTTGGAGGTCTGAACATATTCCTTTCAGAGTTGCCTTGAAATTTCATTAAATAACTGCTTTCATGAGATTGGGTCTTAATCAGGCAGCCTCTGGTACCTTGTGGAAGATGGATCCTGTCAAGCTAAATTTGGGATTATTTGTGAGTAAATCAAAAATAAGGTAAAAAAAGATGCTTGTGGTTTGAGACTCATAAAAAATATTTGTCTTGGTACTCATAACACTTAAACTAGAATGATTCAAAATCAATGTGACAGAGTAAAAGGATTAAAGACTGGCTTGGAAGCACATCCCAAGATGTCATTGTAAACAGGAAATCAGAAGTGAGGGGGAGTATTTCTTGTGGGGTCTCCAAGACGCTTTGTGGGCCCAAACAGCCGGCTGTTCTAGGAGTGGCCAAGCAGCAAAGAGGAGTCAGTGGTCAGTCTGGCTGGGGACACACAGCCCCCTGGGCCACACTGAGAGCCAGGCAGGCTGAAGGCCCCCGGAGTCCCCCCGTGTTCAGAGAGGAGAGCTCTGGGTACAGCCACTGCCTTGTGCTGAAGCCATGGGCAGGGTGGTGCTGGGGCAGTCCATGAGCACACTCTGCTCCAGAGGAAGGAGAAGGAAGAGCAATGAAATGTTTGAGCTTCAGCTGTCCCCTATCAGAAGCATGTTAATTAAACAGGAGATGCTCCCAGGGTGCCAGAGCTCCTCTCTGACCTTCCACTCTGTACTAGAAGAGAGGCTGGTGGGTAACATTGCAGCAGAGGAGAACCTGAAATGCAGAAGAGAAGTTGCTCGTGGCTTGTAGAGAATGAATCTGTTGTGGGCAGGGTGCCTTGAGGCCCCTGACCTCCTAGTCAATGGAGAAAGGACCCTTCTTTGCTGTATGCCTGCATTCAGACAAAATGTGGTTCACTCCAAACAAACATCCAAACATTTTCCCTGCAGCCTTTTCCCTGTGCCTTTTGAACTCAGGAAAAAGATTTCTGCTCCTAGAGCACTGCTTTCCCCTGCTGCTGAGTTTTCCTTTTAGCCTCTCAGCACAGGGTGGATTGGTAGAGCTGAGACTTGGGCAGAGGAGCAGAGGTTAAATGTGGCATCTGAGAGAACAAAAAACCACAGGCTGTGGGCCTTATTAATGCTGCTCCTTGTAAAACAGACCTTACAGTGGTATGCATTTCCAGACCTGGATGTACATGTACCTGGAAGGAAAGAGCTATAGGGCAGAAGGGCATCCAACTCTAGATAAAATATAAGAGTCTTTCCATTACTCTCTGAGATACTCTTCCATCAAAATAATTAAACTTTGGCTCTGCAATAATCCTTGCTCTCTGGTAATGCAGGGGACAAGTTTAGTATTGTCCCCATTTAAAGCCTGCCTCAGCTCTGCCACACAGGGGAGTCACAACAGGGGGACAGCTTGGGTTTGGTCAGTTTGGGACTTGGACCAAGACCTAAGGGGGTTACTGGAAATAAGAGGAAGCCAGGGTATGTTCACTCATTACTCCTACCATTGGTTGGATGGTCTTGACTATAACTGTGATGCCTTGTACGTGTTCTCTGCCCACTGACAGGGCTTTCTCCTGCCCTGGTTCTGGCTGGAGGCAGAGGAGCTGGTAGAGGTAGCACAGGCAGCACCAGCCCTCGCCTGCAGACAGTGGGAATATTTTGATATTTCAGGAGTAAGGAGGTCAGGCTGGGTTTCTGGGCCCTGTGAGGCTTTTTTTTTTTTTTTCTTTTAAACAGCTTAGTTCTGTTTAGTTTTGCTTTTAAAGGGTGAAGAGGGGGGAAAAACAGCTTCCAGAAGAAAACAACAGCTCAAGCTTCAGGAGCCAGATCTTAGCATGAGAACCCGACCCAGTGTGGGGGAGGGCTGTGTCAAATCGCTGCATGCCCGAGGAGCAAGTATTCACTGCCTGCCGAAAAGCCACAGAGCTCAGACCCTATTTGAAAGAGTAACATCTTTGATATAAAAAAAACAACCAACCAACAATCCAAAACCACCCATCCAATAAAAAGCCTCAGACATACAGGATCCCATTCATGGTGGGAGGGATTTAGTGGAAGTATTTTCCTTCTTTAAGGTTTGGCACAGCCTTAAAGGAGTCTCTTTAAAAGCTTCCAGAGCCGATTATATTTTGGATTGTGTTTCAAATCACCCTTCCCCCCCAGGTTTGGTGGGTCCTCAGACAAGTTCCCAGAATAAATTAGACATAACGGTAGCAGGATTTTTTTTTTTTCTTTTACTTGAGAAGAAGGAAGGAATAAATGACACCAATTTCTGTAATGGAAAGAAAAAAAGAAAAAAGTGTATATCGGAAACTGCTGCTGAGTGACTCATGCTGCCAGACAAACGGAACCTCAGTCATCACTCCATCTTCATCCTCCTCTGGTGAGAGAAAAAGTCTTGGAAAAATATCAGCTCACCCCCCCACACCCCGCCCTGCTGCTTCTCCCATGGCATCCATACACAGGGAGACAGTCCAAGCCACAGTGATGGCTTCATGTGCTTCTTGGGGCAGGCAGAGTTTTTTTTGCTTTAATAGCCAACTAGGAAAAGCCTCCGAGGTGACCTTGGAAAAATGTATGCACCAAAGGAAAAAGTTGTGGAAAGGGGTGTGGGGGGCAGTGTTGGAGTCCTTCTGTGCTTTATGTTTGACTATGACTTTTTTTCCCTTCAGAATGTTTTTTCAAGTTTCCACTGACATAGATTTGCAAGTTATTATTATTTTTGTTATGAGTGGGAAGAGAGGTGAGGATGCGCCATGCGAAAGGCAGAATAAGCTGGGCACAATTCCGACTGAAATAAATGCTGCGTCATAAAAGCAAAAAGAGTAAGGCAGGAGGAAGGGTGGGATGCAAAAAAATGGTTCTATTTCTCCTCTGTTTGGGAGAGTAAGTAGCACTTCCATGAAGCACATGAACTGTATACAAATAAAATATGTTTTTATTAACATAAAAAATGGGGGGAGTATTTATTTTTTTTTTCCTTCTCAAAACATCCTCACAAATATTTGGCACTGCCTGACAGAAAGCCATTTGAAATGTAGCTTTTCAGACTGCCTATTCCAGCCAGCTCTGCTGTGGGCATGAGGACTCTCAGCCAGTGGCAGCCCCTTCCCAGCAATTGCCTTCTCAGGGTGGTGGGGTTGAGCAGGTGCACACAATAGCTCAGCTCTGCCTCACAAAAAATCTTGCCTAAGGAGATGCCATGTTTTTACAGGCTGTTGGTTCTTGTTTTTCCTGAACAGGTTACTTTTCCTTCCACCTGGAGTTGCCTTGAGTTCAACAGTGCATGTGGTGTGAAAATAGCCATGAAGAGGTGTGATACTTTGTTCTCTTCTTTTTGTGGTTGTGGTCAATCCCATGCCCTTTTTCAGTGCTCCCAGTTGTCCCCCTTATCTCCCCATTATAACTTTTCCCTTTTTCTAGTGCCATAGCTCAGGCTTGCACATCACACCATCTGCAGATCTGGAGGAGCTCCTGGGACACGGGGTGGGAGCAGTGGAAAGAGCAGAGGGTGGCCTGGGACAGCAGTTTGGGGTGGCCAAAAGATGCAGGAAAGCAGCACTGGGCCCCTCTGCCTAAGCCATGCCTTGGGGTACACACAGATACGGTAAGAGATGTTGCTGGTGGCAGCAGCTGCAAGTCCCCGACCTGAGAGGACCCTGTGGAGTTCCTCTTGTGCTTCTTCCCTCTTTTCCCGTATCTTTCCCTGGGCTTCCCAGCCCACAGCTCCAGAGCCAGCTGGTGTCCCTGTCCCCAAGCTGCTCTGTGCACAGATGAGAGAGTGGCCAGCCCTGCTCCTGGACCCAAATGCCCAAGGGCAGAGCAGGGAGAAGGGCTACATTTCCCAGCTGAGGCCTAGGAGCAATTTTTGGCCGAGGAATGACTTTCATCTGGAGCACATTAGCCATGGGTGGTGCTGCTGGAGAGCAGCAGCTCTACTTAAGGCAGCCTCTGCCAGCTGCCTCTGGGCTCTCAGTGGTGGAGGGGCTGTGCTAAGCTGGGATCTTGGGTGCTCCCCTGTGGGCTGATGTTTCCCCAGGAGATCTGCTTCTATGCTGGGAAAGCTTTCCTGACTGTAAATGCAAAGTTTGACCCACCTTCCCTCCCCTACCTCTTCCCTTTGCTTCATTCCACAGGAAAGCAATCATAGTATCAAATGTTTCTTAATAACTTTTTAGGTTGATGACTAATTTTTCAGCCATGCTGAATGATGGGTAAGTAAGATATTAAGCTCTGCTGTGAAATAGGTGTCCAAGTGAGAAAAGCGTAAGGGAAGCTGTGCAGGAGAGGGCGGTTTCTGAAATATCCCAGTTTCAGGAAAGCCTCTGTCCAGAGATTCTGTGCCCGGGAAGCTGAAACCAATCCATTGCCAGGTAGAAACCCGTAAGAAAATGATTTTTGGTGGAGCTCATGTTTGTGGCCTTGCCTTGCTGGCTATGGGAGGGAGACCTATGGGGTTTTTTTCTCTTAAAACCCTCATCCTACCCTGGGGGAAGATATTGGATTTCATTTCAGGCTTTTGAGATGGGCCTCAAACAAATGGAAGGGCTTGTGAAAAACACGAGGAAGTAAGATGTGGGTTTGGATCCCAAAACTCCTGTTCCTAACAAGGAGCCATGTGAGTGCTGCTTTGGAGGCTTTCAGCTCTGGATTGCTGGATGCTCCCTGTGGTGCTCGCATTTGTGGTGCCTCGCAGGCTCCCAGGCACTTTGGCCCGGACAAATTCACTGCTTTGGGTTTATGGCCCACTTTTGGGGACTCTGTGCTCCAGGCAGGCCTGTGCTATGCCTTCCCCACTCTCCAGCTGCAGCCTTCCATGAGGATTTAGCTGAGGGGAGTGGGGAAGTGAGCGTGAGCAGGATGAAATCACCTTTTTGTATAAGTCAGCTGATGTGCTGTATAAAATGCAGGTCTAGGTTTTGAACCTAGAATTTTCTTTAATAACAAACCCTGGTCAATGAATGTAAAAGCTCCATGCAGAGCCTTTTACTGTGTTAGTCATAGCTTGAAGCCTTTATGTTCCCTCTTCTAATGGCAAGTATTATCCAGCATGCCTTGTTACAGTGCAGTCTGTGGAGGGTGTGGAAGTAATGATGGTGCCCGAATGCTGTTCCAGAGATCACTGCTACAATTCACAGCAGATAATGGGAGCTACAGCCAGACAGATAATAGAACTGACTGAGATCCATTTATTGCTAAGAGACTGTCTGAATATTTGTACGTAGCCCCAGCCACTCCACCCTCCTTCATCACATTTCCCAGGAAAGAGGAGAGGGAAAAAAAAAAACAAAACCAAAAAGCACAAGCCTAGAGCAGAATGGGGAGGAAGGGAGATTTGCAGGCTTTGATGCATTCATAACTTCTATTTTTTTATGGCCCCTGTCATAACTGAGCAAGAATGGTGTAGGTTGTTAATGCATTTACAGCCTGCCTATGTAAGAGAAGGTGTGGGATGACAACAGGAAACAAGTAGTGGATTTGGAATGGGAGCCTGTGTGAAGTCTAAACTAACATCTGAACCTAAAGCCATCTTTCCTTGCAGGTAAACAAGCAGCCTGATGGAAGGTTTCAGTGGTGGGCTGCAGGCAAAGCCAAAGTCTGGGATGACAGCAGCAGCCACACTAGAAAAGGCTGGCCTGATTCATAGCATCACGGTTCAGTCACTTCAGATTTTCTCACCATCTTGCTAAGCTGCTTAGGCCTTGCAGAAGCTGTCTGGAGAAGTAATCTGTGTGCCAAAATTATATGTGCTGTTAAAGTTACTCAAGGTTTTTGCTGTTTGACTGACTGTCCACTTACCTTTCCCTCTCTTGAAGTCTTTGCAGTTTTTAAATAACATAAGAAGATGGGGAATTCTTTTCTTTCAGAGTATTTTCTAAGGTGATCTTTGTCCATGTGGAAGTTCAAATATTTGTAACTTATCCTCCTGGTGGTTGCCCTTTATCTTTCAAGGGAGCCCGTGTCTGTGTTAGGCCCTCTCTTATCCTGGTCTGTTCAGTACTTGATGTTTCTAGGATGATGGTGAGGAGCAAGACACAGGCAATAGCAAAGTCCAATGCAGCACAAAGGAAAAACTGGTGATGACGTGTTTTCATACTTATTTTTCAAGGTGGCAGTGAATAGGGAAGTTCAGCTGCAGTGTTCATTGCTCTGGAGAAGGGTTGTGGTTTGGTGTGGGTTGAGGAGAGCAGCTTTGTGGTAGTTTACTGATGGTCATTGCTGGCCCCTGGCAGCAAACCTGGCTGTGCTGAGGCCCTGATGGAGGTGGATGAAGTGCTGTGAGATCTCCCTACCTGCCTGCTGAGCCATGACTGGTGGCCTCTCCCACTGCCTTGGTTTCCTGGCCCCTCTGTCAGCACATGTCTGGGTGCTGCCAATAAGTAAATGCAGCCTTGCCCCCACCTTAGCCTTTGCTTTGAAACACTTTGTGATGTTGAGAGCATGGCTGAGAGCCTCTGATCTGAGGCACTCATTGCTCCCAGATGTTAGGGCTGCTCAGCTGGCATGGAGTCCTTGCCAAGCCTCTCTTCTGTGACCATTCATTTTTGCATTCCACATTTTTTTTCCAATCATCCCAGAAGTACTAAGTCCTTTTCTTTACTGATCAAACAGTTTGTTAGAGCACTTATTTTTCCTGTGGTCTTTGGAGGTCATTGAATTTGTTGAGTAGTGGTCTAGGTAGGACTTGTGCTAAGGAAGAAAAGTCAACTCTGTTGTATAGGCAAGTGTGTTCAGGTACAAGTTTGTTTTCAAGTTTGTTTGAATCTGACCACATGCTGTCAGCTGTTGATAGCAAGCATGTGAGGGAGATAAGGGTTTTGATCACCATCCAGGGCTCCTGGGCTCTGTTCTTGGCTGTGAACAGGTGTGTGAACACTGAGCACCTTGTGTTCTCGGCCATCAGGACTGGAAGCTGATTTGGGCAGGAACAACCTCTGTGTGCTGGAGGCTGACAAATGCTGCCTGTGGTGGGCAGTGGGGGAGTAACAAGAGCACCTCTCAGAAAGGGGGATTTGTGTGTGAAAATGAATCAGCTGGGTGCTCACTTAGCCCTGGGTACAATGCTGGGGACTCCTGACCTCCCCTGAGCTGCCCTAATAAGGGTGCAAGATGCAAGACCATAAATCAGAATTCTCCATTTGTAGGCTTCTTCTCCCCTTCTTTAATATTTTCCTTAGAGCCCTGAGGTCTGCAATATGGAGTATTGCACAAATCTGTAGCACAGCTCTGCAAAAGGCCCAGTATCTTGAGTAAATTAATGCAGGCATATTGTTTTCCTGCTGGTTGGAAGAGATCTTTGTCTTGGAGAGCCTTTCCTCTTGTGAGATTTCCCCTGGGAGGTTGTGTGCAATGAGCCTTTTGCTAGCAGCAAATACTGGTCTTGAAGCATTTTCCTGAAGCTTTTGTGGAAGGTGAAGGGGTGGGGTTTCTCTTCTACACTGAAATTAAACATCAAAATTGTGAAACCCATCAGTTGGCTCTTTCAGCTAAAAGATCCCACCAATGCTCTGGGAAGAGAGTGTTTGCTCTTTTTTTCCCTTTTTAATTTTTTTTAAGATATAGGAAGGGCCACTTGAGGGCAAATGTTAAGAGAACTGGACTACTCAGATACTTAGAAATAAGTTAATCACAAAAGATACAGGTACATTCCTGGGTAAATTTGGATTTTCTAGGATGTTTTGTTACCCAGACTGAAATGTGAAGTTTAGATAGTGGACATTCCCTGACTCAAAGAGTAATTCATTATATTTCTTCACATACGGTATGGATCACTTACCAAAAGTCCTTCAGAGTTCTCACAACTCCTAGGTTAAGGTCAAAGAGGCATATATGCTAAGGGGAAAGGAATGTCTTGAACTGTACTCAAAAACAATGACTATATAGTTTAAATATCATTTTGAGGAAAAGCATTTATGTCCCAGAGGAATGAGTTCTAGCAACTCTAGCTCTGATGCTGTGTATGACAAAGTATTACTAAAATGTTTTTCAAAGGCTGCACTGTCTCTGGAGATGAGCCCTTTCCTTGCCATCTTTCAGGATGATGGTGGCCAAAATTTTTCCATAGTAGGAGTTGGTCAGTGGTCAGTCTTCACCACAGTGTCTGCATGAAATTACTGTGACTTGTGGTCCCAAATCACAGAGGTATTTTTAAAATGTTGCTGTTAGGCTCTTAAATCTAAGCTTGGGAGGAGCTTCAACGGAAGGAAGAAAAAAAGGAACAACACTGTTTTCATTAAAGTTTAGGAATTGGCAGAGATGGAGGCTGCCTAACCTTCAAACAGATGGCTGAAGCTCAGACTGTGCTTTCCTAGT